CTGCAAAAAGAGAGGATATGCTGGGCTGGGTTGTAACATGCATGATTAGTGTAGCTCCCTTTCCATTTGCCTGCAGAGAACTGTGTTGTAGCTCTGGCCTAGGCTTAATTAAAAAGGAGTTTAAATTCTACATATATTGAATTATTGTTGTAATTAAATTCAAATTCTTCAGGATTTAATTTGTATAGAGGGTAGATCAAATATGCTTAATCCATCTGTGGTCTGTCATACTGACACTTGTGGCCAAATAAGTAACATCAAAGAATGAATTCCCTTCCTCTGCCTTTCACAAGGCAGGGATGTGGACAGAGCAGCAGAAGAGAAGGAAGTAGGTAAGGTGTGGAAGAGGCCATAACATCTGTGAGAGCCACCACACTCCCTTATTAGAGACTCAAATATTTTGTTGAGATGAGCTCCAAGATCCAGCAATCAGAGTTTTCACGATCCACAGGACACATTTTGTTCCAAAAGCTGCTCCAAAAACAAGTCTGATACGTCAGTGTATTTTGAATGTTAGGTACAATTTATGAAATGAGGCTTCAAGACTTATTTCTTTTTATTACTGAATTAAAGGTTTTTCAGTGCTTATTAAGATAACCTGAGAATCAAGGAAGAAATCACTCGCAAAGAAGAAATTAATCTTTAAGAGAATCCTAAAAAGGAAGCATCTATCATTCATGCTTCTTCACTAATCTCCCCAGGCTGAGTTACAGACCCATCTGTATGACTGATGCTGTCTCTGAATAGTGTTTTTCCCCACCTCCTGCCTTGCCTTTCCCTGGTTAGTCAGGCCACCCATCCACGTGGATAAATCGAGCTGCTGGAGCTCCTTCAAGGTGATGCGACAGTGCTTCTCTCCCTTCCCCCACTGCCATTCACATTGCAGCCAGTTCAAAGAGTGAACACAAATCAATACTCGCAGCTGCTGAGATCAAGCAAACCTTATGGGTCAGTCACTGTTGTCTTTCATGATTAAGTTGTTTTCCAATAGTGGTTTCTTAGGCTGCCATTACAAGAAGAAAAAGAGCAATTTCTCGAGCTGAAGAGTTGAAAGACAAAATCAAGTGATATTGTTTGATCCTGGTCTTCACCCAGAAACCTGCATGTAAGGCTGCAAGCTTAAAAGTATTAACCTTCTTAGGTGTTGTGGTTTGCATGCTTATGGTCAGGTCAGAGGTAGGGTATTTATTGTTTTCACCCAAGTGTCCCTTGGTGAAAGATCTGTTTAATCCACTCTGTCTGTTTAATTTCTTGTCCATTTTAAAAGTATTTTGTTCCTAAAATCTCTCTCTTATTACAAAAGCACTACAGAGAAACAAATCGCTAGCTGTACTCATCTGTATGTTAGCTCAGAGAGTGATTTTTCCAGCTCACATCATCAGTAACAAACTGAAAATTTGGAAATGTTTCTGCAATGCACTAATGGATCTGCTGTTCATCCCATTCAGTGCTGGATGGGACTAGTGTTGCTAGTAATTAATCTAGAGCTCTGTTTGAAAAGCCAGGAAGAGAAGTGGGGGGGTCTAAAAAGTTATCTGTTCACTCTCAGAAGTTGCTAGTCTCAGTTTCTGTGAGCAGTAGTGTCTCCAGGACCAGAACTGGAGTCCTTCTGTTTGGTATGGCACTTGAGGGAGGGCTATCAAAAGTGTTATTTATCATGGTTGATGTTGAGTGTGAGGATGTGTGCAGTCAGGGAGGCATTGGGACCCTGCAGTTTCTGTGAATATTCATTGGAGATAAAAGGCTTCCTATGTATTCTGTTGAATTTGGAATAGGTATTTAAATTGCAATTAGACTGCATTAATTCTGAAAATGAGAATTAAAACCCAGGTACAGGAAATATTGATTTAGGGAAGAGCAATTTAGCTCTTAGCTGAATCTCTGTGTAAGCATTAGAACTTAGTTGTCTGAAGATGACCTGGGGGATTTTTTGGGATTGATTATCTTCCAGACTGCACTGGTTATTTTTTCTTTAGCAAGTATTTTTATATCAAAGATTGGCACATAACTCCTGTTTTGTGCACATGCACACACACACACAGAGAATAGCAAAACTCTTTTATTTCCATAATGTTATGAAGATATCTACCAGTTTTTGACAAAGATTGATCTGAACATGTTCCATCTGTTGATCCACCTGTCTTCAATACATCTTCCCTTACCTTGGCCTGGCTTCTGCTGTCATTATGTAATTATCCACTGGAAAGTGTTTCTTTTTGGAGCTGCCAGAAGACAATGGAGCCAACACTCACATCTTTGCCCAAGGCCATAGATGAAATTCTGAAGTGAAGCTGAAATCTACCATAACATTAACTAGTGGTGGCTTTGACATGTAAAACTACAGCACTGTAGCTGCTTGCAGAACTCCAGTGCAGCCAAATATATTCTTCCTCTTGTGATTTTATGTGTTTTTGACAGTGCTATGAAGTAAAATCTCCTGAGGCTGAATCTGGGCTCTGTGGCAGACCTATTCTACGGCCCACTTCATAAAGCTTTTAGAAATTCCATGTACAGAGGCAATGCATGAAGTCTGTAGTAAGCAGAGATTATCTGGGGCTGTGTTCTATTACCATTAAGTCAGTAATAGAACTGTTGGTGATTTACTTGTATGGGACTGAGGTTCAGTTGTACCCATTTTAAATGTTACATACAAATAAGAAATATTTTTATTAAAACATTATCAATTCTGTTGAAAAGCCAGATTTAATGGCATGTTACCACAACTATGAATAAACCTCCCCCCAAACAGTAAGTAAATAGTCAAATAGGAGATCATATTTCAAAACATATTGACTATATTGATTGGAAATTTAGAACAGAAATGGGCAGGATGAGAGAAACTCCACGTCTTCAAATAGAAGAAAACCAAATTATAACATTTTTTGTTCATATGCTGCAAAGGCTCAGATGTACTTTAAACTGATTTTTTTCTGCTGTATTTTTAAAATACTGGAAGTTGTAAAAAGCCTTCAGGAGATGATCTGAATGATTTACATTATACTAATATACATTTTATACCTATACTGTATATATCACAGTTCAGTACAAGACACTACACTGCACTACACCACACCACACTACACTAACACAATATTGTGTTCAAACCATCACTGATAAGGTATTCTTCCTTATATTGTAGTACCATCTTCTTCCTAAAAGGACAAAACCAGAAAAAGCAGTTGATTTCTTCAAATCAATGAAGCTCTCTCCTTACCCAGCAGCACCATGTGAATTTGTTTCAATGTTTATATTACTGAAAAGGGACTATCAGAAGGAAACATTTGCAGGAGCAAAGAAGGGATATGAAATCATAGCAGACATTCCAGTTATCCCATTAAGATAAGATGTGACCTTTAAATGTAAGACTAATACTTTGGAGGGTGACATTTGGTTTCCCAGTGTGCTCCCAGCATATTGTAATTTGTTAGAAAACAATGACTAACATTCATTTGAGGCTAAAAGTTTCTTTAGCAAGTGCACAATATGCTGTGAAAACAGCAATTGCATTTTATTACTTGCCAGGCACTCTTTCAATGTGCCAGTGAAATTATCAGAAAATAAATAGGAAGAGGGTTATGAATATTGCATGAGAGGAGCTGTACAAACAAACAAAAAAATCTATGGTTACAGTCATATCACTCCTTTTATTAAAGAAGTATTTATTCATACATTAAAAAAATCACATTGAAATATTTAAGAGTTTGGTCTAAGCTGGGAAAACTGTAACCAGAGCTGCTTCAATCTCTATATTCAGTGGCCTCTCCCTCACCACTGTACAGTTCATACTTTGCTGTGGACATAACTTTCCCTCTGGATATGGCTCTTTGTGTTGTGGGAAATCTTTATAAAATCTCTGCCTGGCCTCAGCTGAGGAAAGGAGGTGTTGCCTTCAGGTCATGCTGGTTTGTACAAATGATGCATACTAAAAAGTTCTAAAGAAAGATGGGAAAACTCTGGGGACAAAACTTGTCTGCTCTTGGAGGTGAGGTTTTGTCTTGCAGAGCTGTTTCCCACTTGGAGAACTTTGGTCTTACATTCCCAGTGTCTCCTGTGTGGCACTTCCCAGGAAGAATATAGTACCCCCCCTGCAGGGATAGTGCTGTGGTTGGATATCTGTGTTGCCAATGCTTGTCTCAATTTTTCCATCCTGTTCCAGCAAGGCTGGCAGATGACCACTGTATTTTACCTACTGCCTCACCAGAAGGCAGCCCAACCCTGCAAGTCCTGCTGTGCCAGCGCCCTACAAGCATGTAGGGCACACAGCCTCCCAGCTCACACCTTTACAAGCTGACCATTTGCCACTCTGAGACACTTGCTATGAAATCCTCATAATTCCACCATCAGTATTTTCTTTTCAGAAATTCAGAATAGAGGATTAATATTTCGCACCATTTTTTGTTGTCGATTTTTTTTATGGAACCTACAAGACCCGGTTATCTCACCTGTGAGAAATAGAAGAGTCTGTATTTTACACCCCAAGTTCCTGTGATTGTCACTGGGGACTGCAAGTCAATGCTTTTCTGTTTGTAGTTTGTGTTGGCAGCCACTCTCCCCAGGTTAGCTGTTTACACCAGTTTATTGCAGTGGAGGTCATGTTCTGCCCAGCAGTTTCTTTATCTGCTAACTGAATTAGTAGGAACTGCGAAATGCTCAGTGATGGACAAAGGTGGGTTACTAGAAGCTATCCTATTTGGGATTCAGCACTGCTTGTGTTCCCAAAGAGCAGCTACAGAATCCACAGGCTCTAGGGTGTCCCCTGGCCTTGGGCAGGAGCTGAGGGATTAAAACTGACAGCAAATTTCTGCTGAGGGCAGGTAAAATGAAGGAGAGCAGGATGGGTATATCCATCTGTGCACACTCCATGCTGGGGGGCTGGACTCAGGGAGAAGTGTTGGTTACTGGGATCAAATCCCAGTGCCTAAGTCCACACTGGGATCAGAAAACAGCTGGTGTCTGTGACAGCTGTAGGGACTACAGGAAACTAGAAAGGATTTCACTGAATCCTATTCAGGGTTTTCTTTTATCTATTTTAATTTTTTTTGTATTTTATTTTGGGAGGTAGTTGGGGGCTTGTTTCAGGAACATTTGAGGGAAGACAGAAAACTGGCAGAATACAAAGAATAAATGCAAATGTTCATCATTAGTGTTTTGCATCTTTGTTTTGCAGAGTGCCAACAGGCAGAAAAACTGTCAGCTCCAGAAGGGTGGATTTGTTGTTGCCAGTTTACTAGCTTGGAGAGGTTTTTCTACCTTCATCCACTGAGACCTTGACGATATATCTGATTTGCTAAATCTGGTAAGCTGGTATGTCATACCTTCTTGGGACATCAATGCCTCCATGTTTTTAACAGCCAAGGATTGTTCTGTAATTAATCTTGCATCTCTACACAGCTGTTAAATTCTATTATTCAATAAAAAAATTTTATCAAATTGTTTCTGGAATTTCATTAGTAATACTAATTTTCACAAACAAGCAAATCAGAAGCTAGTTTCAATTTCTCTGGAATTATTACAAAGGTAATTATATTAGTTCCACTGGTGCCTAATAGCATTTACATTAGTGGGGGTTTTTTTGGTTGGTTTTTTTTTTTTTTTTGAGTCCAGTCCAGTTATTAATTTTCTTTAATAATTCACACTTTGATTGTCATCATGGCACCACTTTGCTTTTTACCTGGGAATAATGGCACTGTAGCCAGGAAGCTGGGCAAGAAATGAACAATGATGTCTAAATTCTGAAGCCATGACTAAGAGAATTTTGAATGAAAAACACCCAAACTGTGCCATACCAGACTGCCAGGAGGGTGAGACCTGCTGCTGGAGGTAGAGTTTCCCTTTGCTGCATCTCTGTGCTGGCTCCAAACTCATTATATTTAGGCAATACAAAATTGACTAGATCATCTAAGCCTTAAGTCTGCTGAGTAATAAAAAGTATATGTTGACCTTTGTAATATGATTTAGCATTTAAAAATAAATTTTGAACAGAAGATCAACAGCTTGTAGTCAACAGCTTGTAGTGAATCTGCTCTATTCTATTTGTGCTTTGAGACAAGGGAAGAAGTTGAAACTGCTTTCAAAACCCTACCCTCATATGTTGTTGCACACTGAAGAGTGAATTGTTTGTCTTATCAGGAGATAGTTTAAATGATCTGTTAGTAAACACCTGTCCTTCTATTTGTTATTATTATTATTATTATTATTATTATTATTATTATTATTATTATTATTATTATTATTATTATTATTATTATCATCATCATCATCATCATCATCATCATCATCATCATCATCTCTGTCTTCAGTGGAACCAATACATATTCTCCTTTTAACAATTAGAAGAATGACTGCAGGCTTAATCTCTTAAGTATCTTCTCTGTTAGAGTTGAAACACTGTTTATTATTTGCACAACAATGAAAAATTAAAAAAAAAAGGAAAAGGAAAAGGAAAAAGGAAAAAGGGGCAAAGAAAAAGTAAGAAAACGTTTACAATTTTCTCTCAGAAAAACCTGAACTATTCCAAGGCTATGTCTTGATTATGAATTTATTGATTGGAAAGCAAGTATCTTTAGGTTTTAAAATAATTGCTTCGTAAGAAAATGACATATTTTGCACAACTTCAGTAAAGTGCCCAAGGGCAAAACGGATTCAGGATACTGGTTTTATTCCCAGTAGAGGGCACTGGAGAACTAATTCCAACTCACTGTGCATTGCCAGGACACTGTCACAAACACGAAGGGCTGGGTATTTCACAGGTCTTACAAACTGAATGTATATCAAAGAAACCTGTATGGGCTGTTAATAAACATCCGAATATTTTTATCTGTGTGCAATGTTACACTCTATTTTACAAGATTTTAACTGAACTTGCGACTGTCTTTTAACTAGGATTGCAACTGTCGAGTACCACTTCTGTAATGAGTGCTAAACTACCTCTGCCTTTTTGTTTCTGCAGTGGTTTTTTTTTCGCCCAGCTTCAATAAAAATGTTTATTATGGAGTGCCATTGCACAGGGAAGCATGAATTTAAATATGCCTGCTTCACAGGGGACTTCAGCTTGTCTCTGATTTTTAAATACACCAATTTATATTGTTTTTCAGTAAATATAATGGCCACAAAATTTTACTTGAACTTCTTAGGGGAAAATGTGCCACCTAAAATAATCATAATATTAATTTTAGTTTTAGACTTATTAAACAAATATACATTACAGAATGTTTTTTCAGCAGCTTTTGGATAGTTTTGACACCAAATTCAAATTCTGATCAGATTTATCTAAGACTTCAGATTATTCCTTCATTTTTAGTTTTCTAGTGCCATTTGTGTATCAATTTGTTATTAGACAGCACTGGGAACAAGGCTTTCTTTAAATGCTTATTTTCTGGATTGTTTGTGTTTTGTCTCTTATGTAGCTAACTTTGAGTGCAATATTTGGTGAACTCCTTATTTGTGAGAGATGTATTTTGCAAGTTGGTTTTAGGCTAGACCTTCTTTCCCCATCCCATTGCTCCACAGAGTATTGAGTCTAGCCTTGTACCTGGAGTCTAGGGTGAGATTCTTGTTTAGCCCACAGGGCTACAGAGCAACAGAGTAACAGCTACTGAGATGCACATTTAACTCATTTTGCCAACTAAATATTGGTCTCGTTAAACATAAACATGTTCCTCTTGCTGACCTAAACAGAAGGTGGTCACTATTTCTCCTCTATCCTTTTCCTTTTCCAAAAAATAGCTAACAAGCATAATTGATTAGACATTTCTTGCTTTGCAAAAACAGATGATGCTGCAGGCATAAACAACTTCTCTTTGATAGAGCTTTGCTAGTTTGGAAACACTCTCTGTAGTTAGTGTGAGGAATGTCACTGTGACTGGCAACACTGCTCATTTTTAGTTGAGACCAGTGCTTGCATCTTACTAAGTCATAATTTAACCAAAGAGGAGCCTGAGTTTCAAATGCCAATGGATCAAAATGTGTCTTCTGTGGTAGGTAAGGGACAGGCGAAGCGGAAGATCATGGGATGTCACGGAAAGATAGACCCCTCCCCTTCTCCATTCCCCACAGTTAGCTATTAACCCCTGAAGCCCCAGAAGCATGTAGCCACACCTGCCCCGGTAAATTTCCACTCCCGACTAACCCCTGAGACCCCCCAACCCCCCTCTGACGTAGCAAAGACCCCCAAGACTATTTAAACACACGAGATGAGATAATAAAGGCTTTTCGACCGTCTGCCACATTGGTATCTGCGTGTGTTGATTAGCCCGAGTGGCCTGGGCGAGACCAGGCCGCCGTGCTGCCTCACCTGAACCAGGTCGCTGGTTGCTCTTTATAAAGGCAACAGTCTTCCTCCTACTTTCCTTCTACCTTCAGTTCCCCGTGCTCCCTCACCAGGTTCTCTTTGCCCCTGTTTTTCCACCTATGTTCTTGTTCCCTCCATGCAGTCTGTCACCACCACTATGTTTTCAATGCTGGCATGTCTTAAGTAGCCTTCACCATCACACCTCTAGATCATTGATGCCAGTGAATGTCCTCCTTGATCCAATTCCTCTTGTAAGTTCTTCCTGTAAATTTCCTGTATTTTTTCTCTGTTATTTCTCATTGATCCTATAATACCCCAGCCTACCCTGTGGTCCTCTGCATTTCCTTTCTCCAGGCGCTCCCCCTTCCCCTCTTCTGGCTCTTCCATGTTCTCACTAGAGTGTGAAACATTTCCCTGTTCCTTGCAGAATGCTCTTGGTTGCTTTTGGAGAGGAGTTTGCTCTTTGTAATTTATGACTCTAAGGAGAACACACACGTGTCCTTTGACCTGCCAGTACAGAATGATGTGCAGTTCTCAGTCTACTGGCCAGGAAAACCCATGTTCTAGCTGGAAACCTTGTGTTACTGGTGCTCTGCCTTACACCCTGGCGGAGTGGACAACATGCATGTGCAAGCTTTTCCTCAGGACTTGCTTGGCAGCAAGAAGGGATAAATTCCAGGTGAAGGGCTCCACCATAAAAGCAGTATTTCAGTGCTTACCAGAGGTCTAGGAAGATTACACTAATACCCTGGTGATGAGTGAAATAACTGTATTCACTTGCAAATACAAGTTAAATGCCTTCATCTCCAGAATTTTTGTTATAGGATGGAAAACTGATTGGCAGATAAACAGGATGGCAGCAAATTTGAGATGTTGCTACATTAAGTGACATTTGCAGTCTTTCCTCCATAGAGCAGTCCAGCTGGTGGTCTTTCCCCATCTGCAGTAACTCTTGGCTGCAGTCTGCAGTTTTAAGTCTTGCTCCACAGGAAGGCTTCATTTAAACTGAAATAATATATTGGTGTTCCTGCTCTCTGCTCCTTCTCCTGTAGGCTGCCCTGCTGTAACTCCCTTTACCTTTGCTTTCTTCTGGCTTCTGAGCCTTGCTGTCGGCCTTTCTCCTCTAGTTGTTCCCAGTGTCCATGCTCATGCTATCCCATATTCTACTCTGTCTGACAGCCTCTCCAATAGATTCAACATCCATACTTTATATGCTGTGCAGGACACACTTTCAGCCAGCATTCCCACCATTCTCCTGTGTCTCAGTTTATAATCCATGTGTCCCTCTTTTGGGACCTATTGCTTTAGATCAGCAGGGCTACAAAAGTTAGGGCTGTTTGGACACCATTAGCAAGCTTTTGGAGGTCAAAGGCACCTGACATATTCCCCACTTCACAATATGATTCTCTATTGGGAGGAAAAAACAGCTCCTCAATAAAAAGAGAAGCAGAATGAAATATGAAAGTGCCTGGTGTGAGCTCACTGTGCTCCAAAATCCTGCCAGAAATGGAACTTGCAAAGTAGAGTGGGGTGTGGAAGACAGCTTATTTAGGACTAAAATCTGCTCCATCTGTATCTTCTGGAAATGGAGCTGGGACAGCTCAATATCTTTGAGTTGTGTCATTGGTCTGCTTTTTCTCTGTGATCTACCTTTACATCAGGATGTTTTGCTACATATGACTAGTATCCTCTGGCTGCTGTTCATTTGTGACCTTACAGTTTCATGTTTGCATTAATGCAATAAAGCAAGCCTCAAGCAGTAATAAAGTTATGAGCATTCCCTGAAAACACTTTAAGGAATAAATCTGGAACTTTATTTTTTCTGGTTTTTATTTTTCCTTTTTGCTCTACTGTAGCAGAAAAATAAAAGTTTAGAGTGAGATGTAACTAAAGTTGCAAAAGGATAAGTATTTTGAATTATCTCTGTAGAGCAGCCCCATTTCAAAGAAACACCACCCTGCATTATTGTTCTCTCTCCAGTCCTAAAAGCTCTCCCTGGCATTTAAACAACAGATCAATCACTTCAGCACTTTAGCTCCAGGCTAAGGAATCCTTCCTGCAATATTACACTGCAGGTAGGCTTTGAGCTTGATATTCTTCTCAGCACAGTGATTGCAACTTGCAATTATAAATTTAATCTTACCTTACGAAACTGTAAGATCTTATTCTGATGTGGAAGTCTAGATGCTAAAAATTTGCACTTTCTTATGAAATTCTCATGAAATACCTGAGTTCCTAAGCAATGCAGCTTTATTGAGATGCAAAACCATTCTGATGAAACATGATTAATTTAGAGGTGGATAGAATGACTTTCTGCAAAAAATAACGTATGCAACACATGACCTCCCTTTACATTCGTGGAATATAATTTTGAGCATATCCTGATTTCTTTCTCTTAATTTGTTATTCCAAACAGTTCCACTGTAACTTTAGTTCTGTTGATCTGCCTGGGATCTATGCCTAGTCCTGGCAGAGAGGCTGCAGCTGGGATATGCTATTGAGTTCTGACTGGCTAGTGAACTGGATGGAACTTTCTCAGCTTCTCATGAGATCCATACAAGCACTTCCAGCAGGAGGGCTCACAACTGCCAATCTATATCCTTGTTTGTTGACTGGTTGTGAAATGTATTGCCTTGGATTGCCCTGCTAGGAAGTTAAGTGTTTTTCATGTTCTGTTGCACTGGTGCTCCCTGTGACTCCTGCAGGTAGCCAGTGTCCAGGGTTTGGGGGCAGCTCTGCCTGAAAAGAGGAATTGCTCAGCCCTCTTTCTTGAGAAAAAATATTCACCAGATCTCACTTTAACAAGGAAAATATAAAAGTGAAATAATTTATTAATTCACAATTTTGAGCTTCTGTAGAGGCAACTCTGTATCAAAATACTTATTTTCTTTGAGGACACAATTTCCTTTTCTTGTTATTTTGTTTTCTGTAAGCTTTCCTGTTGCTGTCTGTTTGCAGATGCACACATTGCTCTCTAACAGGACCCATCTCATGCAGCTCAATTTCTGATCAGCCTTGTGCAGACTTGTTTTGGACTGCTATCTCCTTCTGCAAGCAAAATAGCAACTTCTACTCAATCCTTCATGAAGGAGATGTGTCAGCAGTTCTCTTGCACTTCCCAAGGGAATAAAGGTAATGCTTCTGACAAATGAAAAAAAAAAAAAAATCAGACCATGACCAGAACAAATTAATATGGTCTTTCTCAGCTAATTCATTCAATATTCAGATGTTGATACTAATTGCTACTGTCAGAGAAGATGCTATGTTGTTTTGTGAATTCAAAGTAAATAAAAGCAATGAAAACAAATATTTAGAAAATCTAAAGCATGTTCACCTATCAATGGAGCTTATAACTCAGCCCAATTCAATGCAATCCAAACTATCTACATAATGTGGCTGCACCCTGCAGAAGGTAGTTCTGCACTCCATTTTGACCAGTGTTGATTAAAGACAACAGCAGAATGCTTAAAAAACTCTGAAAGCCTGACTTGGAGCATTTTGTCTTAATATATCTAATTTAGGAGAAAATTGATAATTTTAGAGGAGAGAATAAAAAAATAGTTGCAAGAATAGTCAAGGAGTCAAGTTAAATGGGTTGTTTTTCTCCTGCTTTCATCAGCTAGCTTCTCTTGAATTTAAAAGATACACTGCAGTATTTGCACTTCCTGAAATTTAATTTTCTGCATATTTATGGTTGTGCTTTTGATAATGGAATCTTACAGAATTTTGTTTGACTAATACACAAAGTAAGTGCTATAACCTCAAAGTAGCAGTATTTTACAGGCTAAAGATGGAAGGAATTCCACAGACTTGGAGCAATATATTGGAATTTTCTTTTCTGCAAACTGTCCAGCATTTATTTGTGTAAGCTTCACATTTTACTCTGGTGTCATGGGAGAAGACTTTATACTAGATTTGAGAAAAATTGTTCAAGAAGAAATATAATCCCACCTATCCTAGGGGAGTATGCATGTATCTTCCATCAAGAGCTTCTTCTACAGTCAGTGACTAATAAGGATAACCTGCCCTATACAATAGAGAGGCTTAAACTGTAAACAAAGAAACTGTAGATTAGAATTTAAAAAAACTAAAAACTAAAATCCCATCTCAACATTAAGTTTCATGTCTGTCATAATTTTTCAAGGCAGTTCCAAAAGTTGTTTTAATCAGGTATTCATGCAAATGAGGGAGGAAAGGAAAGACCTGTGGTTCTTTTGTCTGTATTTTCTGTTTTGCTGGGTTTTTTTACCTATGAAGATTTTTAGCAATGAACACATCAGATGCTTAGTTCTAAGAGGGAGCATAAAATAGTGTATATACTTTAAGCTATAGGGGATATCTATGTAATATCTGTGTAATCTATGCTAATTAAAGATTATTTTAGCTAGTGCATTCATGAAGCAGCACAGACTTAATTTAAGGAGCAGATGGGCTAAATGGCTTGTCCACACAAATGATTCCAGCAGCGGGAAATGAGCTGGAGTCCCTGGAAGGTGCACGAATACTACCATGTGAGAGGAAAAAGGTCAGGTAAGTCTTAAGGGGACTTTCCTTTATTTTTAAAGTCAGAAACCTTTTCCCAGAGCATTTAGATTTAGAGGCTGATAAGGCTGGGATGAAACAGAAATATGGTACAATTTTCCCAAGAGATCTCTTCCTCTCCTCATGCAAGCTAAGTATAGCCCCACTTAGGGAAAAAAAGTCTCTGTTGTAAAAGACAGATTACAATTGCTGCTTTCTACATTTTCACTGGTGCCTTGATGCTGTCTAAGGACCTGTGAAATTTATTTTGGCAAATGTGTCAAAGGATTTTGAGTTGGCTGAATCCACAACTTGCTGTGGCCATATGAGGGACAAGGAATCAAGATACATGGATAGGACACCCAGGTCTCTCAGGAGACAAAATTATTTTTGAAGCTCATAATGCTGCAGATGTGACAGAAAACCAATGCCAATGGGAATGAGATGGACAGCATTGCATGAGGGTCATTTCACTACCAGCTGCATCCACGGTACCACTGGTTGGGAAGGGAAGACAGCAGCATGGCTTTGTGTTCCACGGTCTTTGTCAACTGATGTCAGCAAAAAGTATGTAAATCTACCATTAATCTTCAATGACCCTATTTTTTAAAACCAAATTGATTATAGCTGGCATGAATTTAACTACAGGATGCTGAAAGTAAACCATAAAAATATCTGGAAATAACCTCAAGTAACTTATAGAGCTAAAACTTCTCATGTTTTATTCTGATATCTCAAGAAATCTTAACAAAATAAAATTTCTGCTTGTGGGACCACCTTGGATGAGACATAAAGCAAAGTCTAAAGTTTTTTTTGTGTTAAGGAAATTTACAGCAAGCCCCAAAACATGGATCAGGGAGTGGAAGGAGGTGAGGAATTCAGGTGATAAAAATATTGGTTTTTACAATGTTCTGTGATTCAATGTGCAAGAATGGAAAATTTTCAGCACGTATCACACTGGGTAAGGCCAGTATGTTTGTTGTCCTTCTTTTCCACACTTTTCACTGAAAAGGCCTGCTGAAACCAGGCAGCTAATGCAATTATCATTAAAAACATAGGGTAACATTTCAGATAAGGAAAAGAAAGTGCATGGATACTTTTGAAGTTTACTGCCCAGCTGGGCCCGCTGATCTGCACGTTGTAGCTTTAGAGGATGAATGAGATGCATCTGACCAGCCTCAAATGCATTTACAGTCAAAGTGGCATTGCGTGTGCCCATATGTGTATGTACTCATATGTGCTTGGGACTGATTAGGGACCAGAATAAAAGGATACCACAGAAGAAGGAAAAGTGCTGAAAGTAGAAAATAGTGACATATTGAGGATGGGCTGGTGTTGATAGTATCTAAAAAACAATAAGGAAGAGAAAAAATAGTCTGGGTATTTAAAATTAAAATATCCAATGTTTATATTGACTTGATTGCTCTTTACAGAAATTACTCGTTTGCGGTAATTCTATTTTTGATTGCTACTACTGTCTTCTAAGGGCATTAATATGGTGCAACTACCTTTATCAAACAGCTATTAGACAAAGAGAGACCACAACAAAAAGCGCTTTTAAACAATTTATAAACTAACAAGACAATTAAGGCAAGAAGATTCCACTGAAGAACCAATCTTTGTCAACATCTTCTGATCCATGTACTTCAGATGCTGCAGGATAAGGACTGTCAGTAAGTACTGACATTAAAAATAATGACCACTGTAAAATGATTTTCTGTTTCACTTGACTGTATAGGCCAGTAATATGTTGCTAATGAAGCACCCAGGGTGTATAGCATGGCCTTTTCTGAGATTCTGGGAAACAACCACCCATATGTACAGCAAATGTCTTTGGCAACACTTTGCAGCCTTAACTGGAATTTCTGTGCTATTATAGTTTTATGACTCAATCATAATATTATTTAAACATCATTTTTCTGTATCTAATTTATTTATTGTCTCTAGTGGTAGACACAGAGACTGGTGAGCTAGATTATATTAACATTTCAGAGTAATAATAGAAGAAAGCAATTATCTTTGGGCATAAAAATAATTTTAATTAGACAGTCGGTAAAGTGGGAATGGACAGGCAATGATGAATTATTATTCTGTAGTTTAATCAGACAGCCAGAGAACTGGTCTGCAAGAGAAGTTTGCACTCAAGAAAGTCCTTCAGCTGATTGAGTCAAACGTAGACAATGAGGAGAAATGGTCAACTTTCTTGAACATCTTTGCACTACCAATAAAAAAAAAATACATTCGCTCATAATTTCTTTGAAGTCACAGTGATGCCTTAAAGATCTAAACATAAAACAGCACACTTTCAAGACAGTATCAATGTAGGCAGTAACATAAAATCTTCTCTTTAATTGGAGGCCTCCAGGGGCAAGTATGGAAAAATGCTCATGTGATAGGCTGAACACAGTTTTATAAGTTTAGGAAATTAATATAATTCCAAGAATCCCCAATTAGAAGCACAGGTGATGAGGTAATTCTCCCCCATGGTTCAACCCTTTTCTGGAGCCCCTCTTTTGCTAGTTGTTTATGAGAAAGTATCTTGGGAGAGTGGCTTGTCCTTAGTTCCCAGAAGAAGAAAGATGGGATAGGGGCCTTTAGGAATGTGCTTTGTTTTACTGTCTAACAGAGTGGGTAAAATGCTAGCTACAAATCTATATAATTATACCATAATAAGCTAGAGTGCTACAAGAATATGTGAAGAATATTTAAAAGGAAAATCAGTTTGGCATCAACAGGACGAATTGGAGTTTACTAAAAGTTAATGTAAATATTTTATTTACTCTGTCTTAAGATCCCTTCAAACCAAAAGTAACTTCATATCTATGGACTATTCCTCTGAACATTCACTAGCTTTCCTTCCACCGAATGTCAGGTTTTTTTCTGTCACATGAGGAAATTTGAACGGACACTCCTTCTATGGCAATGTCACCTGACTCTACTTCCAGGTAAACCTGTGCATAATACTAGATTTTGCTGTGGCCTGCTTGGTACTTGCTGTTTTCCAGATCTGAAGAAGAGAAAAGAGAATTATGTCTGAAACTTGTTTGCCTCATGAGTGAGCAGAGCTTCTTTTCACTTCAAGCTGCACCCATGGCCCTGCTTTATTCCTGCGCCAATTTTCAGGTCAAATACAACATAGTGATCCTCTAATGTAATGAAAGATGAAACCAGACGGTATTGCAAACTCGGTGTAATTTAGGTGCTACATTACACAGTATCTATCACATGATAAACAAGACCTGTTTGCATATTGAGAATGTCAATAGCTCTACACAGAGCCAAAATGAACTGGATAATTCATCATGATTTTTTTATCAGCACACAGTGAGGTGCAGGCTAATAGAGCCCCAGTGCATATGTGCTGCTCAGCCAAACAAAGGCAGACCTGCAGCTCGATAGCAGGTCCTGAGCACTGGCATTTTCAGGCTGTGTGCCAGGGCACAGCCAGCATGGTGACTTCTGTCATGGTTTAATAGCAGCCAGAAACTAAGTACCACACAGACACTCCTCATTGCTGCATTGGAAAAAACTGTAAAACCCATGGGTTGAGATAAGGACAGTTTAATAACTGAAATAATGTGAAATATAACACTAATTAATAACAATGAAAAGGGAAATAAAAATACAGAGAGGA